AAAAATCACTAATTCATTTTTTTTTCATTTCAGCAAAAAGTACATGAGGTGTTTCCAACGTCTAAACAAGGAGACCTGTTGTAGCCTCGAGCAAATGAACTATTAAGAAATTTAAGAATTGGCACACTCTGCTTGTCAAGTATATATATCAATTTAAATATTTCAACATTTTTGTAAAAGGCCTTTCAGATCCGAAGCAGTGCCATGCAGAAAGTTGCACCTAAAATGAAATTGCTGCACCAGGTTGTATAAGTTATTAATTTAAAAATACTCTTCTTAGAAGCAGGAATACAAGCCTTGCACCCTTTTCTCATATAGGTAGTCCTCGAGTTACAACCACAACTAAGCCCCAAATTTATATTGCTACATGAAATATTTACATGAGTTTTGCCCCATAGTTCTTATGTGAATCACTGCAGTTAAATTAGAAACATGATGATTAAGTCGCTTCCCCATTGAATGTGCTTATCAAGAGGTCACAAACACTGATTTCAGGACCCCAGGACTTTGCAACTGTCATAAATATGAACTAGTTGACAAGCATCTGAATTTTGGTCATGTGACCATGGGGATACTGCAACCGTCATAAATGTGAAAAATGGTCCTACGGCACTTTTTCAGAGCTGCTGTAACTTTGAACGGTCACTAAATGTACTCTTGTAAATTGAGGACTACCTGTGCTTTCTAACTTCACACCCAACTATTATTTGATGTCACCCAGTGTCTCATGTGTCTGCAGAGATAACAACCTTGGTTTTATATTAACATCTTCCAGTTATACAAGCATATTTCTATTCGTTCCTCCTGGCGCGCATAAAAGCCTTGCAAATTTAAATGTAAAACACTGCCAGTGTGTCTGAAGACAACATTCATCTTGAGATTTCTGCTTGCTAATTATAAACACGTCCTTGTTGTGAAGACTCAAGAAGCACCAAGATTTTGAGTCAGGGAAGGTCATGCTGGTTCTTACAGAAATTTTGAGCCTGGCAAAGGATTAAGTTTCAAGGCTTTCGAGAGACCTGAAAACATATTATTGAGGACAATTCCTTCCAAGGGAAGAGAAATAGGATTTTTTTTTCGATTCCTCTGGAGTTTTTGACACTGGACATTGTAAAACTAAGGGATTTTGTTTTTTCTTGAGCTTGTCTATCCGCCTTATTCTAGACCATTTTTTTTTCTCAAACTTGGAAACTTTAGGATGCACAGATTTCAACTCGCAGAATTCCCTAGCCAGCCTTAAAGTCAGCACATCTTAAAATTGCAAAATGTGATAAAAACTGGTTTACTGTGTTGTAGGAACCTAGTCATTATGGTCAGTAATCAATGGTTTGCAGACTGTGCTGTGCAAGCCAGATCAAGACTGAGCAAAGCTTGTTACATCTTATCCCAGAAAGTAAAATTAATTGTGGGTGTCCAGTTTGTCACAACTAAAACATTTGTCTGAATCTCTGTACTAAATCAGCATTTCTCAACTTAGCAACTTTAAAATGGGTGTTCTTTAACTTCCACAAATTCTGGGAGTTGAAATCCATACATCCTAAATTTCTAAGGTTGAGAAATACTGCTCTAAACCATCTACGTTTTCGACAAGTGAGCTTGCTGAATAAGTCTTTCAGCCCTAAATTGGCAAATCTTGAAACCCAGTAAGATGTTTGACTATTTGAGCAGAAAAAGAACAGATGTGGTGGCAGTCACCCAGATATCCTAGCACAGGTGTCCTAACATTGTCCTGAATGTATTAGCAAAACAGGATTGCCAGATATGAGGATTCCTGAATGATAACACAAATCCCATTTATGCAGTCTCAAAATAGAATTGAACTGAATCACAATCCTCCTTGTGGCTTACACAGGAATAACTTCATTCACACTGAAGTCTGGACTTAACCACAAAGCCTATTGGCTTCAATGCCTAATTGTCACAGGAAGGGGAGAGCTTGTAACTGGAAGCATAAAGGAGACAGATCAGAAGTCTTTTTCTCATTGCCATATATACCTCTCCTTTTTAATTGTTCTCTAGCGAGCTGTTCAAAAAGCAACTTACACTTTTCACCTTCTTGTTTTTCATACAGGATAAGTAAGAGACTGTTTTATTTACTGAACATTAATTCCTTTACTTAAAATATTTATCTGGCTGTAACTAATTCAACCAAGTTAATTCTGGGCAACCTGCAACAAAAAATATTCAAGAAAGCTAACAAAAAGCATATAAGCTAGCAAACTGAAAGCTTGCAAACAATGAGGAAATAATAAAACAATAAAAGAGTCAAACAGCAGTAACACTGTTATCTCATCTAACGTTTTAATAATAATAAAAACACTAAGGGACCCACTAAAATTCCAACCAATCCCTGCCTCAAGAAGAATTATTACCATCACTCCCCAAATCATAGTGATTTACAGACCCTAAATTAAGTGTGAAAGAACATGGGTGGAATTTTTGTACCAAGAGCTCGTCCATGCTGGTCTGGCATTTCTCAAGGTTGATCCGCTTAATTGCCACTTTTTCCTTCTTTGGGGTACAATAAGCTGCTTGGACCACAGCTGTTGCTCCACTCCCTGAAAAAGAACCACAAATACAAAATTAGGAAGGCAGATTTGCTCAAAGAAGGAGGAATTAGGCCAGGGGTCCCCAAACTTGGCAACTTTAAGCCTTGCGGACTTCAACTCCCAGAATTCCTGAGCCAGCTTGGCTGGCTGAGGAATTCTGGGAGTTGAAGTCCACAAGCCTTAAAGTTGCCAAGTTTGGAGGCCTCTGAGTTAGACAATGCTAGCAACAACTACATCTAGTCCTCAACTTACAGCCATTTATTTAGTGACTGTTCGAAGATATATCAATGCTGGGGGGGGAAGTCAGGTTCTCGTGCTTATGACCAGTCCTCACGCTTATGACCATCACATTATTCCCTGTGATCATATGATCACAATTCAGGCACTTGGCAGCTAACTCTCATTTATAACTGGTTGCAGCTTCCTGTGGTCATGCAATTGTGATATTTGTTACTTAAATTTAGTAGCTGGAGCAATGGAGTTGTACAGTGAGCCAGAACAAATAGTTACAGTTGATTGATGGGAGAGGGCTGGCTCCTGTGTGAGGCAATCTGCGCTGTGATTGGTTGCCGTGGGTGCGGGGTGGGTGTTACCCTTTTTCCCGCCTTTTTTCTTCTGCGGGCTCTGTGATTTACCTCACGATGCTCCTGTTGGCCTGACTATCTTGTTCGCTGCATATATAGATGTAAAATATATTTATTTATATAAAACTACAAGTTTGTGTCAGTGTCTCTGACTTCATTTGGACAGCTGCTGCGCCATTTCCAGCAAAAAAAAAAAAAACCCACACATTGGAAAAATGGGTTCACACTTGTGACCACAGAGTTTGTTTTAATAGTTATAGATAATGACTGGTATGGTTTATTCAATTCCACTCCCAATTTTTCATAAGTGAATGACTGCCTATACCTATTAGTTATTCAAACACAGTCCTTAACCAAAATGTTCCAGCTTAACAACATCTATAAACACTGACCACAACTTTCAATTACATACTAAATTAACATACTAAAGATTCTTTCCCCAGGATATTTTTCAAGCAAAACAACTGTTCCCATAAAGGGACTCTCAAATGCCCTTTTGCCTTTTATACCCAGAGGGAAAATGTTAAACAAGAACAACTTTGTTTACAAAATTGTCCTTGGTGCACCTAACCAAAACAATGTAAAGCTAATAAACAAACTTTAAAAAAAAACAGAAACAGCTAAAGGGAAAGCAGTATCAAGAAAGGCAAAAACTTAGTTGAGAGAACACCCTCAACAAAGCAGATCAGCACAATACAATAGATCAAAGGGCATTCATTCCTGTTTCGGATAAAACATCATCACACCAGTTTTTCTCAACCAGATGGTCAAATTGCATGGCTCTATTTTTATTTTTTTTATTTGTCAATCGCTTACAAGATAATAGGTATAAGGATAAACATAGATATGAATACAGGGACACAGATAAGAAAAATAAAAGAAACAATAGGACAGGGACGGTAGGCACATTGGTGCGCTTATGCACGCCCCCTACAGACATCTTAGGAAAGGGGTGAGGTCAAGAGTAGAAAGTCTAAGGTTGAAGTTTTTGGGGTTTGGGGAAGAAATCAGAGTCAGGTAGAGTGTACTCTGAAATTGATTTGAATGTTACAAAGTAGGAAAAGCATCCATCCATCTATCTATCTATCTATCTATCTATCTATCTATCTATCTATCTATCTATCTATCTATCTATCCATCCATCCATCCATCCATCCATCCATCCATCCATCATTAAAACTCTCATTGTCTTTAACTGTTTGTCTGTCTGTACCTTCATGTTAAGTCAAATGGCTCACTATACTGCAACAATTTTTGGCCCCTAGAAACCACTAACTTAAACAATGCATAAAAAATCCAGACTTCAGATACCTGGATCATACTATCATATGTGGCGGGCGTGTATGGAAGCCAAAAGATACTGGACTAAAATTCATACATGGCTGGAAAAAAATGACAAAACTGCATATAGACTTGAAACCAGAAATACTTTTATTGGGTATCTTAACTGAAGGTTATAGGAAAGAATTGATATACTTGATTATAAATGTTTTGACAGCAGCTAGAATTGTATTTGCCAAAAATTGGAAAAGTGATAAAATTCCAATAGAAGAGAAGGTGATTAAGAAAATAATGGAATGTGCAGAAATGAGTAAACTGACATTAGCAATTAGAGAGAAAGAAGACAAAGGGTATTATAAAATTTGGGATTTATTTTATGAATGGCCAGATAAGAAAATAGGGAAATAAAATATAATACAATATAAATATAATATAGTAAAGATAAGACAATGTAATATGTTATAATTGATTGCAATGAAATGAATGATATTATGAACCGGGATATGTAAAAATTGAGATTTTCTCAAAAAGGATGATGTAATTTACAATTAAAGTCTAATAAGGAGTTAATAATATAATATGTATAGTTGACTTATATAATATGAATTTTAATAATGCATTTAGAAGGGACAGACTGTTGATATTGTCCACAAGAGATATGTACCAACCAGCACACTGTACAACGGAAAGATGGTTTTATGTTTTGTGTTTGTTGCTAAAAAATAAAAAAATTGGGGGGGGGGGAGAAATCCGGACTTCTCTGGAATTGAAATTCCCCCAATGTTCAATGCAGTTTTATTTACAAAGTTGTAGCCATTGCGGCATCCCACAGTCACGTGCTCATGATTTCCAACGCAAGATTCAGCTTTCCACAAGCAAAATCAATGGGGAAGCTGGCAAGAAATCGAATGTCGGTCCCACTCCCGCTGCATTTTTGCCTATCCAAAGTCATTCTGTTTCTCTCCTCAAGGAAATGTTGACATTATTGAAGTTCTTTTGCCATTACAATTATTTTTCTATTTACAATATATACTCTTTCTAGATTAAGCATATCCAGCCCTGCCTTCCTTCCTCCCACTACCCTTCCTACCTCCTTTCTTCCCCCTTTTCTCCTTCTTTGCTTCCCCCCCTTCCTTCTCTCATCCTCCCTTCCCTTCTCTTCCCTCATCCTTCCCTTTCTTCATCCTTCCTTTCCTTTCCCTCCTTTCCCTTTCTTCATCCTTCCCTTCCCTCCTCCCCTCTTCAACATATTTTTGTCCTGGCCAGCCCTTCAATTAAATTTGCAAAAGAAAGAGAATTTTAAAAGGCAGGCTTCTCTTGTAAATACTTTGCTAAAAATACTTTGCACTGTCGTAGACAAATGAACGGGGCCCTTTGGCTCACATACTCCACCCCCCCTTCCCCCAAAATACACCCATGCTTCTTCCAAGCTCAAGGAAAGCAGGCAGGCAGACGCAGAAGAAAAATGTAAATACAGACATCACTATAATTTCTTAAGTGGCTGTGTTGTTCCAGAATTGTTCAGGAACACAAAGAACAAATGGAGAATAGAAGCAAAAACAGAGAAAAGAAGAAGTTGCAGCACATATTCAAATACAGGTAGTCCTCCACTTACAGCCATTCGTTTTAGTGACCGTTTGAAGTCACAATGGCACTGTATGCCATTATGGACGTTTTTCACACTTATGACCTTTACAGCATCCCAATGGTCACATGATCAAAATTCAGATGTTTGGCAACTGACTCATGACCGCTGCAATGGGGCAAAATTAACTAAAATATCTCACTTAGCAACGAAATATTTTGGGCTCAATTCTGGTTGTAAACCGAGGACTACCTATATTCATATTATTACTTGCCAGTTTATTGCCCTTAAACAACAACAAAAACTACAACAATTCAAAGGTTGATAACGAACTTTTCAAAGAGAATCAATTGCCTTAAATAAGAGGTAGACATCTCCTTCCAAAAATACAGGTATTTTTGCAAACTAAAAGAAACTCTATTAACATAATCCCTAAATTGTTCTTGCAGTTAAGAGACAGGGAGACAAATTGATTTGAAAGGATGAATCACCTATTCGGAGGCACCCAAAGGACCAACCCAACAGATTAAACAATATTATTTAGATAGACATTTATTAGAAAGCTCTTGACAGATTTACTGCTACTGCTGCTGTGATTATTGGAGCTGGCTTGTATGACCTAAACTGCTTTACTGATGTTATCTTTCTGGCTATGGTGAGCTAGCCTGAATGTCCAGAGAAAGGATTCAAACATGTGGAAGAACCAACAAGCTTAGCATCTTGACTGGCATCCAATCCCATTTTTACTGACAAGAGAAGCCTCCCACTTCAGGGCAAACATTCAATTCACAAGAAAACCACATTCCAAACTACTTGAGATGCTTCCTCCATGAAATATCGATCAATCAGAACTCAGCTGAAAGGGACCTTGAAGGTCTTCTAGTCTAGCCCCAAGCTTCAGTAGGAAACTTTACAATCTGAGACAAAAACTAAGAAAGTCCAACTGCCTTTTGGAAAAAGAACCTTTGGAGCAACCATGACTTCAATGACTAAGAATCATCATAGACACATTTTGATTGGGGCCAACTCAATACAGGTAACACTACAGGGCAGTCTTTCCCTTACAAAAGTTCATTTAGTGACCATTCAAAGTTACAACAGCACTGAAAAAAGTGACCTATGACCATTTTTCACACAAGCCTTGGGTCAAAATTTGGATGCTTGGCAACTGGTTCACATTTGTGATGGTTGCAGTGTCCCTGAGATATATGATCCCCTTTTGTGACCTTCCCACAAGCAAAGTCAATGGGGAAGCCAGATTCACTTAACAATCAGGGTAGTAACTTAACAACTATAATGATCCACTTAACAACTGTAGCAAGGAAGGTTGTAAAACAGGGAAAAACTCACTTAACAAATGTTTCTCGCAGCAATATAAATTTTGGGCTCAATTGTGGTCGTTATGTCCAGAACTACCTGTCTTTACTATCTTTTCCATGGGATTGAAGGCATGGAAGAAAATTAAGGGTAAACGAGATCGACAGTCCATTTAAACCAGCAGCTGCCCGGAGAAGTGGAGGGACTTGCACATTTCAAGCCCACAGAAGCTCAGGCATCAT